AAGGTCATGTCCGCAATGATTTAAGTCCAAATTAAGCAGACTCCCTCTCTCCCACCAAATACAGCTTTGAAAGCATATAATTGCTGAAGTGGCAATTACACTTCAGTGATCAAACGGCTAGTGTCTCCTCCTCATCGGTATGTCGTTAAAACATGCAGTCAAAAGGTAAAACAAAACCCCAAGCCTTTCCCCACCTATCTCCCCTGCAAAAGAAACCTGTCACTTGAACACCTCTCACAAACAGAAGTTGGTCCAATAAGTAAGATATATTACCTCACTCACTAGCGTGTGTAACTTCCATAATGAAGAAAACTAAGAAGGTAGATAAATTTGGAAACACTGATTACCATAATAAAGGCTTAACCCTTGTGTAGCAATTTTCATTCATAGATCTCAAAAAAATTAAAAGGAAGGTAATTATAATTCTCATTTTACAGATGTGGATCCTAAGGTACAGAGGGGAGAAGTTACTTCCCCACATCAGTTGCAGAGCTGGCAATAGAAGCCAGCTCTTCTGCTAGAAGGACTGACCAGGGGACATGCACCCTGGCACAACACACTGACCTTTTGTATGAGTTAGTGATGTTACTCTCTAGTGACCAGCTCTCAATCAATAAATAAAAGACACCAGGAAAACACATTCACAAAAGGACTTTAGGTCATGACAGCAAAGCTATGCTTAGAATAAAACATCATGTTACAAGAATCCAAAGTACAAAAAAGAAAATCACTATGTAAAATTAGAATTTGTACCTAAACATTCCATGAGGTACTTTTAATAGCCACTTAGCTTCCTCACTTCAAAGCCTGAGCTATGTATAGAACACAAGACAACAGATTCTTGAACTTGGAGTTTAGCCATCTCTTTATTATGGGAAAGTCAAATGTACAAATTAGTTGCTTCTGATCTCCCCTCCCCACACCCAATCCCCAAACATATTGTTAATAGGCTGTCCAAACGAAGTGTGCTTTTATTCCACTTTCCCCTACAGATGCAGAGTTTCTGTATAAACACAGGAATAATTATATACAGTGTTTTAATAATTCCCTGCAGTTTGTATGCGTTATAACAACTGAAGTAGCAGCATACTGTTGAAATGCCATCCAGAATTGCAGCTGGTCATACATAGAAAGGAGGCATCTTTGCCCTCATCCCCTTAGCATGTTTCTTACCAACAAGGATACAGTGAGAGGCACAACTAAGGGATACATTTATACATCTCCTCTAGACCCCTGTAAAAATTCAGTGTCACTTTGTCTGGAAATAGATTGATACACTTCACTATTCCTGGAAGCAGAAGGGAAGATACTCTAGGCGTACTGTGTAACTGGAGTGCACCTATTTACACTAATGCTGCTCTTAGGAATCAGTGATTTGCAGATATTTAAGAGTGTAATTCCGGTTTTAAAGAGAGGTATTTGTCATAGATTTCACTGGATGAGGACCAAGGTAGTCAGAATAATAGTAGCCTGTCGAGAAGGCCTATTGCAACATACTGTGTAATTGTGAAGCATTTAACCAGAAAAAAATATTAAAGGTAGAAAGTGTAACTTCTCCCTGCAGATCACACAGTGAAGTCAGCAGTTTATCTGTTCACAAGGATAATGAGTTTTCCAATATGATTCTATCCCTGAGCAGCACCATTAAAATATTTCTTTTTTAAAAGTAAAATCAATGTTTGAAAAATACAAGAGTGGACTAAACACCATTTTAGTCAAACTGGGATATCCCAGAGCAGTTCATGTTAACTAACCACATTATTTAATAAAAAGGTTTCCCATCTTCCCCTTTTAGAAATCTAATCTGCTTTAAGTCATCTCATCCTAAAACTGAACAACTCAAACTGTGCAAAGAGATTTCTGCTGAAACTAGAAGTTGCCTCTCCCAGAGAAGTTATTTTAGAAGTACTCATAAGGATATAATTTTAAAACTTCTTACAATTTTTCTCCGTCCCCATTCAGACATAAGAACAGTCCATTCCACTCATTCAAGACATTACTGGGCAAGTAATATTTGGTCAATCAAGCAATTAGACTGGCTGAACCTGCCTTAGTCCCTGTATAAAACACAGGATTAAAAAATAAGATTGGTTCTTATTGCATTTTCCTTCAGAGAAGAATCTGACCACTAGATGCTGGATGAAACCCAAAATGCCGAAGACAGATGTAGCGTTCCTAGCCAACGTTGCCATGCTACAAATGTCTAATGAAGAACAAAAATAATCAAGAAAAGCAGAAAAATACTGGTGTAAAACTGTAATGGGGAAAATAAATATCTGATGATTAAAGAGCTTTTGAAGGAAGTCTGACTCCAAATTACATCATTCATTTTTTTTTTTCCTGGAAAGTTTGCCACGAAATAACCTGATGAGCTATTGCAAAGGATAAGACTTACAGTGATCTGCTATCTCCAAGCAGTGAACTTGGAAGTTTTAACCTGGCCAAGAAGGAAGGATGAACAAAGGTGTGGGGGGACAGGCATGGTGGAGGGCCATTTCTTTGCTGCCAGAGTTCTGGGTTGAGTCTGAAACAAAGTCTTTGCTTCTACTTTGAAACCTTTGGTTGCCATGACAAAGAAAATCTCTTCAGGCAAAGACTGGCGCAAAAATTTCAGATGGCAAAATACAGAAGTTAACAGTCCGAATTCCACCCCTCACACACATACTGAGGAATAATAATAATGTGTCTTAATAGCAAAACAGAGGAAAGGACTGTACTCAGAAGACAGTTGGTTATAAAGTCAAGTGGCATTTGGAGAGAGGGGATGCATAATAGACCACTGCCAAACTCAACAGTCTGATTGGATTCCTAAGTAAGAAGCAGAGATTTCTTTAAAGATCTGTGCTTTGTGGGAATGCTAAAAAGCAAGTATGGAAGATATCAGTTTTTGCTAATTCGTTAGACCGTCTGCCATGTAAAGAGCCTGGGATCTTTATACTTAACTTCTTTCGCCATCTCAGTTGTAAATATCTGTTTTACCATCTGCACTTTTATGATTCTTCTGTGGATTACATGGTTATAAATTGCGAGCAAAATATAACTAGCCACGCCTGCCCAAGCAAAACTTAGATCTCACAGACGATAGCTTGTTGCCAATTAACAGAAGCATCCAACTCACTAGGGAAACGTTACCCAACTTCTTTAACAATACAGACTACCTATAAGAGCTCTGCAGTGGCTGATCCTTTCCTTAGATTTAACTCTTTGGTGGTGGTGAGCCCCGCATTCCCTTATTGCTGCAGCATGCGTGCACATTACGTATTAATATCAGATGACCACAACCACCAGGCAACGTACATCAACTTCTCTTGCTTGAGAGACAATGATTTTCAGCACTAGCTCTCGAAGCCAGAGCCACAGATCACTGCTGTGAACAACGGAGAGCTACAGATAAACATAGACTTAGGAGGACCAAATGCCAATCCATTGCTTTCCCTAGTTTGGCTTTGCAATGGCCAACTGGCTTCAGATTCTGCATCCGTATGCAAGAAAAACTGTGTGTACAAGGTTCAGAGACAGCCCTCCTACCAACCTAGAACTAACCTCTTCAGTGCTGACATCGACTTGTGTGGTGAAGTGCCAGCGTTCCATAGGAATATTGGCACTTTGGTGTGGCCATACAGGGGCAGCCCTGGAAGCGTTTTACTTGCATGGCACCCGGTTCACTACACAGCTACATGAAAACCAACTGGATGGTGGAGACGAATTTTGTTTAAAAAGACACAGCTGGGCTGGTGATGCAGCAATGAGAACTAACAAAGCATTTGAAAGACATGCCTGCAGTCTCTCTGCTAGCAGACGACATGGGTTAACTGATCATCCTCTCTTAATGGCACTTCACCTCTATCAGCCCCACAAGGTTTGTCTAACAAACAGGCACAGGTGATGAAGAGCTGTCAATTCAGATAACTCTTTACTGGCTTTCAGATGGGTCAAACAAGGTGGTGAAAGTGACATCAGGCAGAAAGATGACTGATGAGGTAAAATACATTAGCACCTCCCTCCGAAAAATGTACATTTAAAAAAGGTATTTTTGTCCTGTTAATATAATTATACATAAAGATTTAAAACTTTTTGCCGATAAAACCTGCGAGGGATACAAGGGCAATTGTCAAAAAATACCAGGTCTGCTCAGAAGAGTCCCTTTGGGACTCTCATTGCTTCATACACAACCCCATTATACTTCTGTTTTAAAAACTGA